CTAATGAAACCTACTGGTAAATTGAAAATTCACTACGAATCAAAATTTGGCATGGGTATCAATACATTTGGTTAAACTGTATTTGTGAGGACTTGAAAGATTAATGTCTTCAGTAGGAACCAATGGGCTTGGAGCTGAGAGCCAAAGACAGGAAGTCTGAAAAGACTAACACGTTGCTGGTTTTGCTCTTTTCTTGTTGAGTGTAATAAAAATAGAGTTTATAATGTAATCTAATAATTCCAGCCTCATTGTTTAAAGGGAACATCAGTATGAAAGTGTAAAATCCTTGACTGAGCTGATGGTGGGTTGTGAGGCAGCTGAGATGAGCTCCTTGGAGGTCCTACTCTGCTCCCTGAGCTCCTTCCTCTTCAGTCGACCCTCCTTCAGCTGCAGAAACACCCACGTTATAATAATCCAGCTCAATGTCCTCCTGCCTGCCCGGCTTCTGCCCCCTGCTGGCCTGGAGAGACATGACAGCACACATGAGAGTTAGTGCATCACTCCTCCTCTTCTTCAGGTCAGTAAACACAGACCGAGTGCTTCATCTCAGTCCTCTAAACAACAGACATGTGTCAGTACCTTATAGTAGAAACAAAGGGCAGCAATCACCAACAGCAGAGTCAGCGGCAGGACGACCACTTTGATGAGAAGACCTGTTGGATCTGATCAAACACATGGACAGTCATCACATCACACAACATCATGAGTCCATCAGCTCCTGTTAAACACAAACTGTAGTGACCTGAAATCTCCCAAAACCACTTCAGTCCGTCAGTAATTTCTATCAACAGATATCTGAATGCAGAATCTGGAGGCAAGAGACAAGGTTTTGGTATCGAAAGCTTTCTGGTTTCAGTTTGTTGTCCAGGTAGTATCGACCAATCACGTTTAAGCAGTCCAAACCTACATGGCCCTGTGTGAAAAAGTCCCCTAAACCTAATAGCTGGTTGTGCCGCCCTTAGAAGCAACAACTGCAATGAAGCATTTGCAATAATTGGCAGTCTTTTACAGCGCTGTGGAGGAACTTTGACTGACTCATCTTTGCTGAATTGTTTTAAGTCAGCCACATTGGAGGGTTTTCAATCCATTCTTTTACCTGGATTCAGGTCCGGAATTTGACTAGTCTTCATTTTGTTTTTCTTAAGTCATTCAGAGGTGGACTTGCTGGTGTGTTTTGGATTAGTGCGCTTCAGCAACGAACAGATGGCCGGAAATTCTCCCTCAGGATTTTTTGGGAGACAGCAGAATTCATGGCTCTCACTGTGAATTCATGGCTATCACTGTGGTTTGCTGGAGGCCCAAAGCTTTAGAAAAGGCTTTATAACCTTTTACAGACTGATAAATCTCAATTACTCTGTTTCTCATTTGTTCCTGAATTTCTTTGGATCGCAGCATGATGTCTAGCTTTTGAGGATTTTTTGGTCTACTTCACTTTGTCAGGCAGGTCCTATTTAAGTGATTTCTTGATTAAGAAAAGGTGTGGCAGTAATCATGAAAAAATTCAAAAGAAATTTAACTCAGCTTTCCAAATATGTGATAAGCCACAGTTTCCCCTTAATAATAAAAAACCTTCATTTGGAAACTGCATTTTGTGTTTACTTGTGTTATCTTTGGATAATATTTCAATTGCAGGAAGGAACTTTTTTTACAGCACTGTAAATACATAAATGCTGCAAGTAGCACAGAAGACAATTGAAACTGTTACCAGGGAAAACTAAAAGGTGACAACCACACCGGGCACAGCAGAAAAACGCCACCAAAACGTACATGTTAGCTCAGTTTCTGGTGCGTTGATGCCTCAGGTCACCGTACTTGACATCAGTCACAGAGTCAGAAACACAACATCCTTGGAAGCTGATCTGATCTGATTTGAACAGATCATCCTTTCCAAAGCTGCATGGAAACAGTCAGTGTGACGTTTCAGCTGCTCTGCTTCAGCTTACCTGAGACAGTGAGAGACAGCCGACGGCTCTCAGAGGAGAAGTCATGAGAAGAAACATGGAGGTGATAAACACAGCTGTAGCTTCCTTGGTGGGCGGGCTCTGCAGCAGGAAACAGGAAGTGGGCAGAGTGATTGACAGCTGGCTGGGTGTAGTTGTGTGATGTGATGGAGGAGGTGAAGGCGAGCTGGAAGGAGCCTCCTGGGTACTGTGGCTGGATGGAGCAGCTGATGGTGAAGGTGGAGCCCCTGAAAACCTGAAACCCCTGCTGCTGGGCCTCGGAGACCCCGTTCACGGAGGAGGACACAGAGATGTTGGGCTGAAGCAGCAGGTCTGTAAACACAGATGATGAAAGGTCACATTCACCGTCGGACTGGGAGTAAAAAATGGCAATGGACTGTGATCCAGACCGGCCCACCAGAACAGTCCACTGTATACTCCACCACGACCGCCCTGCTAATGCACGCACGTACAAAGGCCGTAACCTATGAGGTCACCGAGGTCTGGACCTCTATAATTATATTTAGTCTATAGCCTTTTAATAAAATAAATTAGAATAAAAACATTGATAACAAGCTGAACTTAAATAAAGGCTTTAGGACCATGTGGACGCAGCGGATTACACAAGGGCGTCACTTTGTGTTGAAAAGTGGTGGGGACATTTAAGGCCTCATCTTAGTGGTGTGACCAAACACTTAGTCCAGGAGACGTGAGAATGCACAATATTGGAGTCACGAGAAGAAGACAACAAGATACTCTAATGTAATTTAGAAGAAGTATTTACTGATGAATTCGGCTATTTGATTTGGGGTTCTCCCCCAGATGATTTTGAGCATTAATCTCTTAATTTCCTGCATTCTGGAGACATTTTCTGCACCAATTTATGGTGGAAATGTCTTTATTTATATGAAGGGAAACAATATGCAGTAATCAGGCCCTGCGATAGACTGGCGACCTGTCCAGGGTGTACCCCGCCTTTCGCCCGATGTCAGCTGGGATTGGCTCCAGCCCCCCGCGACCCTGCAGGATGAGTGGTTGACGATGGATGGATGGATGGATGGATGGATGGATGCAGTAATCAGCAGCTTGTTTTTTTAGCTTTAAAGTTACTTTTGTTGGACAAGGCAGATCTGTTTCTTCTATATTTACATTGCTTTCAAGCTTTTCTATTGTGCATGTAGTTCTCATAGAATTTGTATTTGTTTTTTAGCCTAACATTTCATGTTGCAAGCTAATTTTCAGAAAACTTTTAGCAAATGCTTTAAAAAAGTGGTGGGGACATGTCCCCAGTGCAAATGACACCTATGTGATTACACCTGAAGCACATGACAATGTTGTGCATGCATTAACTGAGAGCACCGCTGTTTGCAGGCAGAGTTTTGGGTGAAAAATACGTTTAGCCAATTTCAGGGTGGGTGAAACAGGGTGAAGCGTCTCCCCATGAAGAGAGACGCTGTGCGCATTTACACACGAGCCACAGCAGCATAACTTCATATTTAAATCTCCAGACAAGCCGACCGGATCATCAGGATCTAATGTTAAATAATATGCTGTGTTTTGAAAAACACATCCAAAAGGTCTCACACAGTCCAGGTTCATACAGAGACACTGTTCGGAGTAAAGCAGCCGTCCTCCTGATCAGTCCTGAGCTCCATCAGAGCGTCTAAACATTTCAAATGCTAAAAGTTGAATTCTGTTTCCTCTGCAGAGTTTCCTCTGTCACACCTGTCAAGTTTTAAACTTTTTGTTTTGTTTTGCTGCAATAATGTCCCACGATATTAACTGTGACATTACTGCTCGCATGGGAACGTCCATCACTTTGTGTTGAAAAGTGGTGGGTCTCCAACATTGACAGTGTTGTGTTGGAGAGATTTGTGCAGTGGAGAGAGAGAGAGAGGTGCTGCAGACAGAGGAGAGGACACACTGGAGACATTACTCTCATAGATGATGTCACTGATGGGCTTACCTGAGCAGGTGAGATCCAGGATGGAGGGAGAGGAAGATGATGATGCACACTCCCTCAGAGCAGATCCAGACTGAACACAGTCAGACCTGATCCTCCACACAGGTCTGTCTGAGGACTCCTTTCTCTGTCCTACAGAAACAGCAGAGCCACAGTCCAGATCTTTACAGACAACAGCTGCTGTCTTCATGGTCCAGACAGAGTCACTCACTGGTCTCCAGTCTCCCTGATGTTTCACCTCCAGTGTTCCTGCACAGCGACTGGCTCCTCCCACCAACCTGACAGGCTCTGAACAGAAACCAGAGAGTCATCAGTAAAACAATAAAGTGAGTTTCATCAGAACAGAAATGAACCAAATCAAAGCTGCAGCTCCTCTTCTACCTGAGCAGGTGAGTCCAACAGCTTTTCCAGGTGAGCAGGTGTTTCTAGCTGAGCCTGAGCTTCTACAGTCCAGGAGAGCAGACTCATGGCCTCCACACTGGAACTCTTTGGTCCACATCGGAGCCTCCACTTCTCCATAGAGCGCCCCCTGGAGGACTGAAGGAGCCCCACAGCCGAGCTCCCTACAGACCACCTCTGCATCCTGCTGGTCAAAGTCAGCTTCACACACTGAGGACCACCACTGGTTAGACTGGTTAGACTGGTTAGACTTCACCTCCAGTCTGCCTGAGCACAGACTAGTCCCGTCCAGCAGCCTGACAGAGTCTGGAGAGATAATAGAAGATGAAACAGAGATAAAGACACCAGAGACAAAATAAAAACATGTCATGAAACAACAATTCAGTGATTCAAACTGGACTCAGCACAACTCCAACATCAGTTCATCATTAACAACAGAACACATCTTTATACATCTGGGGCTTACCTGAGCAGGTGAGATCCAGGATGGAGGAAGAGGAAGATGATGATACACACTCCCTCAGAACAGATCCAGACTGAACACAGACAGAGCTGATCCACCACACAGGTCTGTCTGAGGACTCCTCTCTCTCTCTTACAGAAACAGCAGAGCCACAGTCCAGATCTCTACAGACAACAGCTGCTGCCTTCAGGGTCCAGACAGAGACAGGGCCACTCACTGGTCTCCAGTCTCCCTGATGTTTCAGCTCCAGTGTTCCTGCACAGCGACTGGCTCCTCCCACCAACCTGACAGGCTCTGAACAGAAACCAGAGAGTCATCAGTAAAGAAGTGAATTCCAGAGACTAAACTGATTCTGCTTCTGTGATTCTTTCTTTCTCTTTTCTTTCTCTCTTTACCTGTTGAGGTGTGTCGTCCTTCAGCCTGGAGTCCTGTGATTGGAGCACAGCCGTGGACAGAAAGAACAATCAGGTTGTTTTGTAAAGAACTTTCTATCAGCTCAGAAACATCTCAGTGAACTCCCTCTGGACTCATTTTACCAGTTTACTGTAGGTGAGATCAGTGGTGGAAAGTAACAAAGTACAAATACTTTGTTACTGTACTTAAGTAGTTTTTTTCAGTATCTGTACTTTACTTGAGTATTTTTAGTTGTTGCAACTTTTTACTTTCACTTCACTACATTTCAAAACCAAATGTCACATATTACATTCTGCACCAGACCTCGTTACATTGGTATTAGTCGCCTGTGCAGCACCTGAGTGGAGCAGCACTGAAAAACAAAACTGATAAAGCCGACTCAGCGCGAATCAACTTCAGCCAGCTGATGCGACACGACATACGCAGTGACAGTCCAGCACAGAGCTGGACGGCCCCGCCTCACTTTCCTGTCAAAGGTGAACGTGAATGTTTGATGAGAGGATGAAGAGGGACTGTCCTTCTAGGCACGAGGAGAGAAAAAACTAAATGACACTCAGCCTAATGTTCAGCTGCAGTGAATCTGTCTGTCTGTCTGTCCTGCTAAGCAGCTGAGCAGCGCTGGTTTAAATTAAACTCACGCATTCAGCAAGAAACATCTGTGGACCAGTCCAGACAGGATGTGAGGGCACTCCTCATACATCATTTAAAAACAAGACAGTGAAGTTTAGTTACAACTCTGGACTGATGCATGATGGGAAGCAGTGGATTCACACTGACTATTAAAATGTTGATTAGCTGGACAGACTGGGCAATATGGATGCACATGTCAGTAAATAATAAGCAGCACATATTCAGCCCAGTCATTTTATAAATATTATATATCTGAAAAGCCAGTTTGAATGGGCCTGATGCAGCTGATAATATTAATATATAGAAAATATCTAGAATTTACAGGGGCTGTGGTGCCGTTTGTCAGATTAGATGCTGGATCATCAGCCAGTACGAGCACAGCCAGAGATGTGCAGCCAGCATCAGATACAAGCAGCTCAGACTCTAATGGAACAGTTGCTGCTCCACCAAATGAGCCAGCAGATTGGCCCCCAGTCTTATCTGACTTCATGAGGTCTGAGTTAGAGCGCAGAGGTCTGTTCAAACCAGCACTGGACTTTTCTAGAAGAGCTTTCTATTCAGGCTTCTTACAGAGGGAGGATTGTAGTGAGAGCATTGCTGTGTCAGGTGCAGTGTTGGGGTAGTTACTCAGAAAAGGTCATGGATTACACATTACTAGTTACTTACTTTACTAGATTACTCACTGCAGAAACTAACTAGTTACACTACTAGTTACATTACTTTTGGATTACTGCGTAACATCACCTGTGATGCACAGTAACAATATAAAGTTCCACCTCATATCTGCTCAGATCAACACAAATCCTTATTATGATGAGGACAAACACAGGATCTCTCTTTTCTGCTCTTTAATACAAAGTGACAACAGAGTTGTGAACATCAGCCCAACATTTGTCAAGAGAAGAACAAGGCTAGAGTACAGTGCTATAAAGCTTAGAACTTTATTTGGACATTTCATTGGAAACATTTATATTTTAGATAATGAAGACTGTGATTCTTACTGCTGACTCATTAACAGCTGAAGCATGTAGGCCTGAGCGACTGTGACAGAATCATGTTTGTCTTATTACAATAATAATAATTAGGCTATTATTATTATCAGATGGAGCCTTTTTGCTACAATTAAGCTTGACACAACGGCTGCGGCTGTGTTTGCGACCTTTCTTTTCTCCGTGAGAGGGAAGAATTTAGAAAGGAGCCCCTGGCTCCCCCGTAGTTCGCTCCCTGGGCAGGAGTCTCTCAAATCGTTTGTCAGACAACCTGTTCCTCCTCGGAGTCAGCACGAGACTGCCCAGGCTAAAGAGCCTCGCCACAGGCGCACCAGTGGGTATCGCTGTGCTTTCACCAACAATATGAAGTAATACCTCCACCCCTCCAAAGACTTCTTTGGCAGCTCTGCAATTTCTGCGTCCTCGTGAGCTGCTGCTGAAGTCTGAGAGGTCGGAAACATTCATGAAAAGGGGCGTTTGATTTATTTTTCTCTCCTCCCGTTATGCAGATAGTTCAAGAACCAGTTCACAAGTGACGAGATGATTTTGAGATGTGATTACTGAAGTTATCAACAGTGATGCGTTCCAGACAGAAGTAATGTGATTACAGTAACGTGTTACCCCCAACACTGGTCAGGTGTGACTGTGCAGCAGCTCTGTGTTTGCACTGTGAGCGAGTGGAAACGTAGCTGCTAGAGTTTTGGAATATAAACATGTGAAAACTGAAGCCAGCCTGCTCTGTGTGGGACTGTGAGCTGCACTTTAGGAGAGGTGCTGAAGTTAACATGTGTGGCTTTTTGGTGAGATTGTGAATTGACATCCAAAGTAAGTCAGCGGTGTTTGTTTAAGGGCATAGAAACAGGTAGGGATGGTAGCGACATGTCTGTCAATATCCAACAACTACTGAACTGTCTCTTTGGTCAGAGAATTTAAATATGACCACTGTTGTCTGTTAATGTCTAGTCAACGTATTTGGTACACAGAATCCAATGGCGGTGGTGGTGGCCCAGTGTATAAGACACATGCCTTTGGTGTGAGAGACCCGGGTTCGAATCCAGTGTGAGACACCAATGTGTCCCTGAGCAAGACACTTAAACCCTCGTTGCTCCAGAGGCGTGCGACCTCTGACATATATGGCGATAAAAGTAAAGTTGCTTGAAGTCCAGTGTGAAGTTTCACAGTGATGTCATGTCCTCTGCTGGTGTTGGTCCACCAGCCTTCAAGAAGAAAGTGAGAGACACCAAACCAACAATCCAGACGAGCTGCAGGCCGCTATCAGAGCAACCTGGGCTTCATATCAGCAGCTCCACAGGCTGAGGTCTGTTCTTTATTCTAATATTCTAGTAATTTGAGATATGGATGTTTAATAATCAAGATTAAAAGAAGAAAAACAGGACCTGAAATATTTCACACAGAAATCAGGCTGCAGCACAAACACAAATGAATTAATGAAGTCATTTTGTTGTTGAAGTGCATGAGCATAGGTTTAGCTTCAACACTGGAGGGGAATTTTTCTGCACCAGTTTCTGGCTTCTTTTCTGCATCTATTGATGGTGAAAATGTCATTTATTTAAACCCAAACACCAAAAACCTGAATGTAAATAACTGCCACATTGTTTTTTCTGTTATTCTTTTATAGCTGGATCCAGCGGTCGCGTTATGCTGATTGTTTAAAGCTGGCTGTCACGAGCTACAGCTACGGATTTTATAGATATAAGCAGAACATCAAAAGAAGGATAAATGCCCAGGAGGTTCTGGCAAAGACACGAGTGAGGGAGAAGCTGATGGGGGAGAGATAACTACTACTACATGTTCTTCTTCACTCGGCCTAATACAATGATTTAAATGTGTTCATTATGTTGTTGTTAGTTTGTTGTAGCCTACAGTTTAGGCTACTGATTCATTTAAAATGTAGGCTATTTGACTTTCTTTGATCTGTAATGAAATGAAGCAATAACCCAGAACTGCCACACTGCTGCTCTCATCACTCAGTTAAAGTGCTCTCACACAGCTCAGGGCTTCATTTTGTTTTCCCTTTGACGTGAACTTAACATTCGAACCTCAAAATTAAAAATCGAACGTACCAAACGATCGAATATTTGAATATTGGGGTCCAGCCCTACTGAACACCTGACACTTCATCAGCATGATACAAAACCTGCATGAGATTGGAAATGTGTTTTCTTCTGACTGGAACATTAAAATGAGCGCACTAGTGTCAGAAGGTATTTGATATACCTGAAACCTGGATAAAGTACATGTTGCTGCTAATACTGCAGTCCTTGATATTAGTGCATGCAGCCACGTTACTTCTGAATTACAGGTACAACTTTACTTATTCCCAATAAAAGTGGCCACGATTATTTTAGTAATATAGAGAAATGATTAAATATTGATAACATTAAAGTTCAATAATCCATTTGTTAAAGAAACTCTCCTCAGCTGAAAGAGTGGGGACAGACAGACTGAACTCTAAACTGGACTGGTAACCAGTGAAGTGATGGTGAAACAGCTGTGATGTGCGCTCTTTTGTTCATGTGAGTTAGAAGCCTTGCAGCAGAGTTCTTATTCAAACAAGTGAAAAGACAGTTACAGTGATCTAAAGGAGACCAAATAAAAGCATGAATGATCCTCTCAAATTCAACCTCTGACACCAGAGCTCTTAGTTTGGATGTACAGTGTTTCTCAGTTGGAAGAAGCAGTTTCTAATTAGAGAGTCCAAAAAACTCTTTTTGTGAGCAGTTTGTTCTGTGAGAGGCCGTTTAGGGGGAAAATACTGAAAATGTTCACACTTCATAAACTGGATCAGATAAGGTCTTAGTGCCTTAAATGTAGCTGTACGTCAGCTCTTTGACAGGAAGAAACATTTTTAATCAGTGAGTTTATCATCAGCAACGATCTAATATCCTGTTTTTAGCTGAGACTTGGTTAGACCCAGATACTTCAGCTTTATGAGTGAAGCTAGCGAGCATCAGAAAGGACGGGGAGCTGCCATTTAGTTTCCTGTTCTTTTGAATATGTGGCTCTTCAGCTGAATTCCTCTCCTCCAGCTAGATCTCTAAATATCTCCAGGCCACCTAAATACTGTGCAGGTCTTTCAGTGTTTTCACCCTGAACAGCCTTTCATACTGGTTTTCTCCCTGATCCAGTAAAGAGATCTGAATTCTAACACGTGCTGTTTAAAGTCCTACCTGAGCTCCACAGCAGCAGCAGCAGCAGCAGCAACAGGTGATCCATGTCCAGGTAGACCGTCTCTCTGGCCGTCCGCCTGCTCTCTGCTCTGATCATCACGTGCTGTCCTCAGTGTAGATCTGTGTACAGGAAGAGGTGGAGCTTTACTGGAACACAGCTCATTCAGCTGGCTTTAGTTTCACAGGGAGGAGAGTCCTCGTCTGACTGAGTCTCTGTCACAGGAGACAGTGAGACCAGACCAGAACACCAGGGCAGACCAGAACACAGACAGTGAGACCAGACCAGAACACAGACAGTGAGACCAGACCAGAACACAGACAGTGAGACCAGAACACAGACAGTGAGACCAGACCAGAACACAGACAGTGAGACCAGAACACCAGGTCAGACCAGTCGAGGTCAAAGAAGAGGAAGAGAGTTTTTCTGATTCAGCAATCGAGGCGCTTGTGAGGTGGAAGTTAGAAAGTAGCCTACAGATTGTTTGATGCAGCTGGTTCAGAAACAAAAGAAAACCCAGAGTTTTATATATTATTCTAAACAAAGAGTGTAGGTAGAAAGGTAAACATTATATATTGTTGATCCCATCAGACACACCTGTCGGCTCCCGCTGCCAACAGCTGGCTGCCACAAACACTATTTGTATTTGTACGGGATGGCACGGTTCCGCCAGGTTGGTCTCTCTAATGCTGGACCCAGTTCAGCACACAGGTCCAAGAGCACGACTCTTGGGGATCTAAATCGAAGTATTAGCCAGTCATCATCATGGGCCAGGAAGTCTTCACGGACACTCTCTGATCCTTCCACTGGCGTTTTCCTCTGCAGAGCCAGAGCAGCCGTGCAGCACTACGCACGAGTGTCACGCAGTGTTTACAGCGGTCATACGGACTATGCTTCACACCTCACCAGAATGGTGGCTTCAGTCAGCGGTGAGAATGCAGATCTGCGTCTCAGTGCGCTCTGTGCGCCTGACAGTCTGTTCACTGCAGCGTGTTTACACACCAAAGCTAAATATGCACAGAGGATGTTATTAGAAACTACTGACGCTCTCTGCTGCAACTCTTTAGTGCTGTTTGATGTTATCTCAGATTTTTATGATGATGACAATTCCATCAGTTAGCCGAGTCTGAAGAGGACTCAGGTGCTAAATTCACGTCTAACATCGGGGAAAGGCAGCCGGGATCCTGCCGCCTGACATCATCCTGGCTTTAGGCTGGCAGGTCCATAACTGACCATGAGTGTCCGTGACCACACTCAGGTCCTCTCTGCTGCGCTCCGGGGGCTGATGGAATATTTAGCGGACATTGATTTAAGATTTGCCACTAATTTGGCTTATTTTATTTCTTTTACACTTGAAAGGTGCAGTATGGAATAGTTCTGGCTCACTAGCAGCAGCACAAATAACACCGCTGGTTTGAATGTTTAGATGATAAAGTGATAACAGTTTTGTCACTTTGGAGTTCACTGACAGAGCCAGACAAAAGTTGGTGGAGGGTCCGCACATATTTTTATACATCCCACGTGTGCGTGAAAAGCGTACGTAACCTTTTTGTGCGTAGGAAGCGTTTATACATGAGGCCCCAGAAGTCCAGGTCAGACCAGAAGTTTTGAGGCGAGAAATCAAATATGTAGATGGAAGGAATCTAAGGAGGCGGCCTGCCGATCACGCTCACAGAGGTCCTACGGTAAGACAGCTGCAGCCTGTCTGTTATTCTGTCATTACATTTTGAGTTATTTAAATCAAATCAAAGAACATTCTTGGCTTGTGAAACTTTAAAAAAATAAATCTGCCGTTACTTTATTTTATTATTATTCTATCAGACATTACATTGTCAGTGAACAGTTGTGGTTGCAGTTCTTGCTTTCTATTGCTTTTATTTTACAGAATTCATATTTATGCAATAGACCAAATCAAATTACTTGGAAGTTAAAACTTGTCAGTAAACCAGATTCTGATCTTTTTAGTTTGGTTGATAAAGCCTGGCTGTTTTTGGAGCTCTGCTCCCTCTGTGCTGGGGGGATTGTGCAATATTGCGACAGTCATTTCCTGTTAGAGCCCAACCGCAGTCTTTGATCTGAGATAACACTAACCTGTCAAAAATAATGCACTAAGCAAGTAAGTACACAGTGTACGCAGTGTACTGCATGTTAGTGTACTCAGACCAGAACACGTCCAATGATGTGTTGCAGTAATCCAGTCTGGAGGAGACAAAGGCCTGGACCAGCTTTTCAGCAGTACAATGATGATTACTGTGATTATTGATTATTGGTTACTGTGATTTTCACAATAACTCTTTCATTACTGTAATTATCCGTTATATACACAATGTGTTACTGTGTGTTATTACACTGTAACTGACACAAACACAGAACATTACTGTGGATCGTTCCTCCCTGAAGAGACTCAAAAGCTGATTAGTGATAACGGATACTTATATTATATATATAATATTTCCTGCTGCCACGGAGTCCTTTACAGATTTCTCCTTAGCTGTCAGGGTTTGCGGAGCGACATACCGGGTCCAAACAGGGCCCGCATAAGGCAAAATAAATTAACAACGTCTGAAACAGCAAAGGTCTTATTACCCGAGTTGTGAATTCCCAATACATTGATCAAGGGCTGCACGATTAATCTAATCCCAATCGTGATGTCGTCATGTGCGATTGCATAACCGCAAAAAGTGTGCGAGTTAAAAAAATAGAAAAGGTGTGCCTGCTCATTAACTCCGCCCACACCGGGCTCGCTTTTTTAATACAGAATTCTTCTTTCTTTCTTCTTCGACGTCACCTCTTGCCAACAGCGTGTTTCGCTCACCAAGCTCACAACATTTTTGAACTATTCTGCTCCGGGATCAAAGACGCCATCCTCCACTCATCCCAGTCGTCAGGGCTGGACGGGGACAAAAAATTGGCCCTGGCTGCCCGCCATGATCAGTCAGACAACCCCTCACCAAGACCCCATCCTTCCATTTAAGGGCTCAGATTAGGGGTGCAATGAAACACTTAGCCCATGAGACTTGACATTGCACATGACAGGGACAAGAATATATTTTAATAGGCCTACAGTTTAGAAAAACATCTATTGATGAAATATTTGATTTAGATTTTGATTTGAAATATAAGATTTAGAGCATTAAACACTTACTTTCCTGCATTCTGGCAACATTTTCTGCACCAGGGAAGAAATAAATTCGGGTGGCAGGTGACAATTCAGAATATAAAAATATTATAGAATAGAATACAGAAATCAGTGGCTTATTATTGTTTTTAGCTTAAGTGACTTTTTTTGGACAACACAGACTTTTCTTGCACTGCATTATTTGTTGATTAACATTTCTTGGTGCAAGCTATTTTGCAAAACATTTTTAACAAATGCTTTCAAAAAGTGGTGGCTACATGTCCCCAGTGTCAATGAGCCTCCCTCCCTGCAGGCTGAGCTACTCCGTGTTCACCGCTTCACCTTCACCTCCTGCTCTCTCTCTCGCTCGGCCCTGTCACTTTGACTGTCACTCTGCTCTGTCTCACGCCTCCTCCTTCGATAGACTAAATTCTAAACTTCTAAATACTATCTTGCAATGTTGAGAACAATAAAAGAAGCAGCTCGTGCATTTGCTGAGACCTTTTTATTTTAAAGAGTTGATCTAATTCTCTCTTCAGTTTTTGAGATATCTGACAAAGAGACGAGTTTGAGTCTTTGAGTCGACACATACGGACGCCTGGTCAAACCCCTTGGTGTCACTTTGTAACGCAGCTGTACGTACGTACGGGAGTTGTGATGGGAAAAGTGACGCTTCTGACAGACTCAAATCTTCAGATCTTGTTCATTAAAGGATAATTTTTTTTATCTGTTGCCTTTTGCCAGTACAAATGTTGTATTTTGTCTAAATTTGGACAAATACTAGTTCCCTGTGTTTTTTTATGTAAGGTTAATTGTTATTAATTATGATTTCAATGAGATTCTAAGTTGTTTTATTTGGAGGGAAATTTAGCTGTGTGATTTTTTTGAGAAACAAATTGGAAAATACGTCCACTTTTCATTGTGTGCGCTTGTTTTACTCAATACGAATGCTTATGCTGTTTTAAAATGATTTTATTGTCAAACAAATATCTAATAAGAGTGAGGGACATATGATTTCTATAAAAATGTCATTTTACCACAGAACAAACAGAAAAACCACAGAAATATGTTGTTAATATTCAATTTAGCCACTACTCCGGCCACATCCGTCCATTTTCACAATCTTTCCTGAGAATATACGACCAGACCAGCCAGATATAATAGGTTATGTGTTAATAAAGTGACAAAAACTAAGTTGACAAAATTTGGATGTATTTTAATAATTTCTACTGGTAGCTCAACACTGACAAAGTTTTACAATATTCAACATTTTCTGATTTTATCATGTAATATTAAGTTAGAATAATGCAGAAATCCTCAGAAAGAAGACAAATAGCTGCTAACAGTTACTTCATAAGTTAATAATGAACAGTTAAGTATCCATAGGTGTCCAGAGAATGACAACATGCAACATGTATTTTAAGCCCACAGAGTAACTGCATGTGATGCAGTCTATGCACAAAAGTGAGCGGTTGTCCACTAACCGGAAGGTTGGGACCCACAAATTGCTCGTGGTGGCTGTGCAATCAGTGTGAAAGTGTGGTGGTGGTGCAGTGGATAAGACCCGGGTTCAATCCCCCACTGTAAGCCATCCACCAATGTGTCCCTGAGCAAGACCTTAACCCCTAGTTGCTCCAGAGGTGTGCAACCTCTGACATGTATAGAAATTCTAAGTCGCTTTGGATAAAAGCTAAATGAATAAATGTAATGTGTGTGAATGAGTTCTTTTTCTGATGAGCAGTTGGCTCCCTGCTCATAGGTGGGTAAATATAATGAAGTGTAAAACACTCTGAGTGGTCGAAAAGGCTAGAAAAGCACTTACAATACAGACTATTTACCATATATGACAGTTTCGGAATTGGTGGCGAAACAGGAAAAAGTTCAGACTGTAGTTCAGCAAGCCCGGTGGAAAGCTCTGGGAGCCTGAACGCAGCTCTCCAAGAAATAAAAGATGCGGAAGAGGCCATCTTGTTACGTGACCTCTCTTGAAGTGACCTTCTTTAATGTACCAGAAAATAACTGGTAGGTGGTGCTAAAAACGAGAATAATTAAGTTTAACATGAGAGACAGATGCAGTATGGTGGTGTGGTGGTTAGCACTTTCGCCTCACAGCAAGGAGATCGAGGCCCAGGCCTTTCTTCGTGGAGTTTGCATGTTCT